AAAAAAGAAACTTAAGTGGACAAAATGTAAAGCAATCTAATTCAATGTCAAGTGATGGATGCAGGAAAACATAAATCAAATATTTGAAGGACTGAATATCGATCAAGTGATTTGAATTTGTGAACTTCATAATTTATAATTTTGTTCACTTAATTCTAACTATGATTCGATCCAGTGTGACCGCCATGTTGATTTGTGACAACGTCAAAACCAAATGAAAATTTATGATCCTGCATAAAACAATAAAGATACACCCCTTTTCAAAAACCGTTGTCGGTCGGAGATTGGAAACCAGAGACCGATTTGAATTGTGGGAGACTGAATGTTTATTGTATAAAATCACGCGAAGGTGGCATATTAAGATATTAACTTTTTTGCTATTCTCTTGACGTTTTTTGAAATAGGTAGGTATTCTATTCTTTGACCTTAAGATTGACTTCAACTTTGGTTTATTTATTCTACAAAACACACGCCGCCATTTGGAAAATTGAAATAAGTGGCCGCAAGGCAGTCTGGGTTACTAATAGCCTTTATCAAAAACCTTCGAATTTTCCCTTGCTTTTTCAATAGTAAAGTTTTATTCATCGCAACCTTACTGAAATGAGTTCGCAAAATGAAAACAAGGGAATGTACGTGGGTGATTATAAATGAGCTTATTGAATGAATATTGATCAGCCGAATGAGGTGGTGGTCTGGCCTACTTCAAGGCAGGTGATCAGACAATCTAGAATATTATCTGTCTAATGCAAGCATCAGGGATAGAGCACCTTGTAATAATTGAATATATTGGCATACCCTCAAGGTCTCAGTCAATAACGAGTCGGGTTTGTTATCATTTGGTTGAACTATAACGACAAACCAATGATTGAATAAAACAATTTCATATGGCTGTGCAAAACGCACTGGCGGTGCCATCATGTGATACACATGCCTTACCCTGACCGTGACCCAAGAATTTTTTAACTGAATAGGGATCTCGCAAGCTGTACAGTCTGTTCATGATTGGTTCAAATTATGTCATCTATTTCGTACTCTGACAGTACAATTTGTTCTTCAGTTTCATAATTCTCCTCGTATACCATCATAGCCATACACTTTTCTTAGTTTGCAACCTTATTAGCCATTCCTAGGTTGAGAAAAAAAACTGGGTCGAGTTAGCACTCATGCGCGTAGTATAAGGCTAGAAAATGATGGATTAATGAAGACCTAGGTACCTCAAAACAGCGGTGAGCGAGGTTTAAAGCAGCGAGAACACCTTTCAGTCTCATAAGCCTCTGGCTGATTTTCGCGGAACAAATTTACAGCCTAGAATTACTTTGTCTGAGACTCTGCAGCCGTGATCAGTACTCGTAAAATAAAAACAACATATATTTTATTTATCCTACGCTTAGAGCATTGACCATTTATTAGCCCCCTGAGCGACTGACTGATGACTGAAGGCGGCTGTTGAAGAGAATTCCGGAAAGAAACGATCTAGCTTAAATGATTGCCGTAGGGTTAATAATAATAACTGAAAAAAACTCAGAGACGAATAATGACTAAAATCAATACTTGTCTATTAACAACATGTAGTGGTATCGCGTATGGGGTAAACTTCACAGAAGAGCCCCCTTACCGAGCATCATGGTTATAAAATCCCGTAGTAATCCATCGAACAAAACCTTCGAATCCAATCAAATGATAGAATTCGATTGTAATTGGCAATCAAATGAAATCGAATTCGCATAAAAATTGGAGCCAATCAAACACAATCGAAGTTTCGATTACGATCGATTGTAATTTAAGACCGATTGGAGTCAATCGAACACAACCGCACATTCGCTTACGTTCGAATGAAATCGAATGCAATCGAGTTCACAATTTTTTTAGCATTCGATTTCGTTCGATGGCCGAATGCAATTGAATACAATCATGTGGTACTCGATTTTCAAATCATTCGATTGATTACACCGGGTAAAACATATTAAGAAAAAAAACCTCGTAAAAAACAACAAGCACAACGAGTCAGAAAAAATGAGGCAGACGGAGACGCGGAAAGGGCAAAAGGACAAATTTTATAGAAATACTTATAAGCGTTGGAGATAAAACTATGGAAGTCTAGCTCAGTAGGCCTGAAGTCTAAACGACGCTTTATGTCTGTTATTATGCATAATTGCGCATTTGACGTCAATCTAAAGTAGCTTAATTCATTACCGGCCAATTTTTGTATTAATTTTAATCCATTGAAATCTCATTCGGCTTTCTCGACTTGGAAATAAACTTGCGACTTAGCAGTTTTTATAGTCACTCTGTCAAAGCAGCTTCAAAACAACGAGAGGACAATGCATTTTGGTTCTGCGGATACTTTTTATTTCACAGCACCAAACTAAGAAAAGTTAGTTAGTCCTCGTGTTGCAGTAGCGTCACTGGCTTATGTATTTGCAATGATGAAGTATAACGAAAGCTGCCTTATTGCCCTCCTATTGAATTAAGTTTATACAATGATTTGCTTCACAATAGTGTCCATCACACTTTTTTTCTACACGCTAATTATGTTGTAGCTCATATTGTTCCTGGATTTAACTAACTTTAACCCTTAAAATCATAGTTAACTATGTTCAAATGTAAGCTAGAAAAGCTATTAGTGGAAAAATACAAAACCATTTTTTGTCAATATAATTCGAAATTCAAAGGTATAAAAAACTGAGGTAAAAAAAATAACAAGAAAAACTGTAAGAAATGAACCGAGTGTAGCGGATGACGAAAATTAGAGAGAGAGCGGGTGTCGGACGAGCGCGCAAAGCTTGAAATCAAATTTAGATATGGTGGAAATAATCGATGTTGATACTTCAGTCATAACATTTTTTCATGACATGACATTCAATTGGAAATATGCAGTAATGCTAGCAACAAAAGTATCAAAAAAAAAAAAAAAAAACCCAAAACATAGTCTAAAGACAATGTTTATGTCATCCAAACAAAACAAGTCTTCCCTAACTACAGTAGCGTATCAACACAAACATCCTAAGCAAATACTCGCAATTATTATCTGCAGTAATTGCTGACATTTTCCTCTTTTATTGTAAAGAGTAAACAGAAACCAAACTGAAAATTTAATCAATCCAGACCTTTCTCGGGAAAATATGCCAACATCGACTATAAAGCCACATGTACTTGTGAGTTAATAAGTACTGAATATTACAAACGAGTAACTCTATTCGGCCTTTGGCACATGAAACAGCTGGCTAAAACGCTTCGAAACATGTACTCAAATCCAGACACGATTTTTTCCCCAAAGCGAATAAAACATAAATTCTGTGTGTAGAACTGAAGACTGAGAATATCGGCACTAAGCCAAAATGTTACTGAACTTTCAACGCTAGATTCACTCAAAATTTTAGCTCAAATTAATGTCTCTACTCTACGAATTATAGTATTTAAATTCTATACGAATAAAGTACCTACCAGAGGGCGAAATAACTGTTATTTTTCAAACGCAAAAGACCCAGGTAGAATGTGAATCAATCCACTGAAGAAGACGCGAAAGGCAACTCCAAGCAAGAAATAAGATACGGTAATTTTTGACATCATTTTTGCAACATCCGCCTACAAACGCTAGCCAATCAGCGTCGTTTGGAAATGACCCCCTGGGATTCTAAGTTAATAGAAAATGTGTCTGTAGTAATTCATCTAAAATTTTCAGTTTACCATGAACATTTGGTATGGCGATTATTTTTACTTCCTTTTGAGGGGTTTCGCATAAATGTTATCACTGGCAGACAACGGTGATAAGTTTTTAATTCAAAACTAAAACAAAAGTAGTAAACCGGTTTTTAAAAGCATTTATCTAAGGTCACTAAATATCTAAAATATAAATATATTATTTAATAAATAAAATGGTTTCCGATCTATTTGGTTCGCCGTGTAGTACTTAATAAAATTATAGGCAATAGAAAAATATATATAGTAAAGTTTTTACGGCTTTTACGCGTAGAAATAATAGCTTATTATAAAGATTTTAGGCCGGAATTTTAGTATAGTGCAAAACATATACCCGAAAATAGCGAAGACTAATTATTACAAAACATTAGTACAAAAATTTGAAACAATTGGGAAAAAATAGATGTACTTAGTGGTATTTAGTTTTTGTGCTATTTCACGAAAAAAATATAGTCAAGTTGCACTCTATTCAAATCCAGAAACAGAAAAACAGCATAATAAAAGATTTGTCTGTGTTTTCTCTAAGAAACCGTTTGTTAAATAAAACACCGATGAGATAATCCTTTAAGCTTAGCAAAACCGATTCAATATTATGAATAAATCTATATGTTTGCTGTTGCTAAGGAAACATTTACCTAAAGATAACCACTAGCGGCAACAGAAGGGTAAGGAAACAAATTTGTAGGAGTTTTTTTTAAGTCTCTCGTCAATTAATGTTCAATTGATGTTTGTTCTGAAGCTAAAGGAAGGTTATTGATTTGGTTTTTGTTAGTGAAGGAAGGGGGCCGGCAAGCAACACAACAGCTGTCCTTGAGCCCCCAGATTATTAATATTGTAAGATGTACCTCTTAGCTTAGAAAAGGGAGTAGAATGATCATATAATTCGATAAAGTGACAGAAGATCATCGTCTTATGATATATTGATGTGAAATCATATCTTTCTCTATGTATTTTTTCCATGGGATCGTAATTTAGAGGAATAGAAAAAGAAAGAGGGGAAAAAACGCATAAAATGTCCATCCCCATCCTCTTTTGCCCCCCCCCCCCCCCCCCCCCCACACACTCTCTCTCTCTCTCTCTCTCTCTCTCTCTCCCTCCACATAGATGTTTTTTAAACAAGGAAGTCGAGTTTCGTCCTTTCAAAACAAATACCTAGCATTGTGCCCCCCACGTGCTCCACACACGTCCTTCGTATGATGTCCTCATTACACAGTAGTTTGGCATGCGTGCAATAATGATGATTATAAACCAATTTAAAATGTTCTAAATAATAAACCCCAGGATTATTGCCTGGTACTTACTCAGGAGTAACAAATGCCAGCAACAACGAGGATCCCATAATGCTTTGCCGTCGTTTCTCTGTCAATTCTTGGCCTTGACCAACCAGTGTCCATTCTCCTACACAATTGAATCCTGAATGCTCGAGGCTCACACGAAGTAGTTTTACCTCATCTTGGTGGTCGCTTTGGTAACTGATGAACAGTGTGGATTTCTCTTTAAAGGAAAAATGCATGACGTCAGATTATTCGTATCAAATGTTAACGAATGTGTGAATGAGGAAAAGCAAGGTAGAAAAGATGGAATAAAAGGATGGGATTCATAGATGGGTAAGAGGGATGTATGAAACTCAAAGAAAGGCAGGAATGTGTGACAAAAGGATGGGAAGATTGAAGAGAGGAGGGCATGAGGGAAGGAGGGATGAGAGGATGGGAAAAATAGATGGGTGAAAGGGAAGTATGAATGTGGAGGGAGAGATGTGTAAAAGGATAAGGATGGGTAGATGGATTGAAGAGAGGAGGTAAGGTTGGATGAGATGGGATAGATAAATAGATTGGTTAGAGGGATGTATGAATATAGACTGATATATGAAAGGGATAGATGGGTCAGTGGAAATAGAGAGAGGGAGGAAACAAAAAAGCAAAAGAGTAAATAAAGATGAAAAATAGAAGTACACAAGACTTACTTGCAATAGTTGCCAGCCAGGTGCTCGTATCGGAAGGAATCTGTGTATGTTCTTCTGCATCGAGCCCTAATACATTTAACACATAAACCAGATTAGCCTACGCAGCAAGTGGTTTTTCGGGATACGTTTGTTCGGTCGGTTTGGTTATGGTCTCTTTCGTTATGGCCGCGTAAAAACAGGGGCGAGAGCAAAAAATTTAAAAATTTGCGTTACATCTTATGTTCTTACATCTCAAAGACCAGCTATACGTATGATGATATGCCTATATATCCTTTCTGCAAGTGTGAGTTATGCTTTTACTTTTAAAAATAGGGCATGTTATAATCGTATATATGTACCCAAAACTAACCTCCGGGAGGTAGAAACCACCGATAGTTGGCCAGATGACTCGGTTGGACGTTRTAATCCTTGACCAGTTCGAACAACGACTTGTGCTTGGGTCGACTGCATCCATATAAAGGGACCATTATCTAAAACAAGCGATCAGAATTTTAGATTAGAATGTGTTGCTTATTGCCTCTTGCACACCCTGACTCAAGAAAACCCGCTGAAAAGTACAATCAAGTAGAATTAAGAGAGAGACCTCTGCTCACACATGGCACCAGATTTAGATGTCAAAACTGAGACCGCAGAGGTGCGGGAAAGTGCACCACCACAACTCTACTATTCATTTCCAAAGTTAGATTGTTTTTTTTATAGGCATATGGAAGGCTTACCTCCGGGCTGAGTCCAGAGTAGTTTAACAGAAGAGTATCTGTGACGTAAAAAAACTGTGCCAGGATAAACCAAGTCATATTGAGAGCCTGCTTGCTGCCATGCAATATCTTACATCGACCAATCATATCCAAGTATGACCCATCACGTGATATCTTGACCATGACGTCACCAACCTTGAGCACCAGACAACGTTGACAGTAACAGTAGATGTCGCTGCTCATCTTATAATTCCGACAGGCGGCTATTATCAAGGTAGAGCAGTTGGAAGATACTTCATCCGGGAATTTAAATCTCCAGCCTACCTGAATGTGTCCCTCTGGTACACCGCTGGGCCATACTTCTGGTGTCTGTGGACGTCAGAAAAGCGACTTAAAAATCCATTTCCGGTTTAAAAAAATACGTCGAGAGACTAACATGCATGTCTTAAACCCCAGCGAATGAAAAGAAAATGCATTTTAATTGCTATAAGTGCGTACTAAAGTGAAGAAATAGAATTATGTGGAATTTTTTTAATGAAGAAATAGAAAACGCGCGCGCGTGCAGTACGCAGTTATAAAGAACGCGAGGGTTTGCAGAACATTAGAGAAGTGTTAGAAGCACGACGCGTAGTGGAGTGCTTCTCGACACTTCTCGAGTGTTCTGCCAATCCCCAAGTCTTTTAGAACTCTATACAGCACAGCAAGCAAATTTTTTTTATTCCTTTTATAAAATACAAATTACAATAGCCGTTATTTTAGATAGGAATAACGCAACTGAAAGTGCGTGCCCGTGCTATGTGTTCTTATAAAGCACACGCTCCCAACCAATCAGAACACGAGATTTATAACAGTTAAGTTATAAACCTCTATATCGATAGCGTACTAACCTTGGTGTCAGCTGGCAATTTGTTTTGAAGAGGAAGAAAATATCTTTTAAAGACAGAAAGGTTTTTGTAGTAGGCAAGTACCAATTCCACCTCGTAACTACCTTTAGGTGCACCTTCAACAAGCACCCCGATGTTACGACAAAAGGCTAAGATCTTGAGCATCTCTTCTTCTTCCAAGTGCATTGCCTGAATAACGTGTATATAATAATGTATATAATAGTGTATATAATAAATGAATGTCATAGTCATGTTCATGCAGTGTCTGATATCATTCTGGAGGTCCCACGCAGTTTCCCAAGCCAGGACAAAACCACAGTAAGCCCTGCTACATGGTAATACTTGAAGCAAAAAATTGTTTGAAAAAAGTTTTAAGATCGAGGAATGTTACACGGTGACTGCGAGTAACGCAGTTAGCCGTCGGTCTTCGGATATTATGATAGAACTCAAAGATTATATTTAATATTCATTTGTCTCACGATTGTGGCAGTTTGGTTGGACCGCTAAAAAAAGACGTTTCGACTGCTACTGCAAGTTTTCATCAGACGATGGAGGAGACTGGAAGGTCGGGTGTACTTATATACCCTCAGTCTGGTATAGATGGTGTAGACTGGAAGGTGGTGTACTCATATTCCGTCATATAGCGTGTATGATTAATGATTAATTATTTTATTAATTAATTTATGTTTTCTAACCTGAAAACACAGCGGTATAACAGCCTCTCTGATGAGTCCCTTTGACACGATATCATCTATGGCCGAACGTAGTGTCCAGTCATTAGGCTTGGTATTGGTAGGCCAGAATCTTTCGAGGAACCCCGCCTTAATAAACCGTGGTACGAATTCCCGTGGTTCCGTTTCGTTATGCATACATGCCAAACAATCCAATAAGACACTTGGGTTAACACACACTGTTCGAGTTGGGCCAAGATCCTGAGTACGTGCTGGAATTCTGAATACTGTGATACAGCCCTGGAATAAGAGTTGTGAATAAGTATTTCATTTGAACACTGTTCAAAACCGGCCGCAAATCATTTCGCGCCTATAATAGGCAAAAAAAAACCTCGAGAACTGGACAACCCAGGAAGTCCAATAGACCAGTTTCGAATTCCAAATTACCGCTGTGTTCCTTGATCACAGACTCATTTGCACAGGGTTAACCTCGTATCAGTGTTTAAATATTCACAAATACCAACAGAAAAGTAAAGAATGCACAATTTCAACAATACAAACATTTTGAAACTCGACGGACCTTGACTGGAACATGTGAATATTTTGCACAAACTCGAGGCTAACCCTTTGCAAACGAGTCTGTAATCAAGAAACACAGCGGTAATTTGGAATTCGAAAAGGGTCTATTCAAACAGAAAGAAACTTTTTTCCTCCAACCCCAATCCCCCTAGCAATGTTAAATAAACGAATGCTCATATGCAACCAATCGTTAGGCGAAACAACATTGAGGACGGGGAGGGGGTGTTTTAGTATCTGTAAATAAATTTTAGAGAAATTTGATAATTTATCAAGGCAATCAATGGTAGCTTTGAATTTGTTGAGTCAGGGTAAACTTACTCTGCATTCTAATACTGCTGTTGCACTTTGCACTTCTTCTGGATCTGTGATCCCAGACTCCGAAGCCAATTTCAAATACTGATCCCAAGGAATCACAACAATTTTCTCTTGTCTGAGTCTCAGAACCTCTGAGTAAAGGTAAGTCAAGTTGATATTGATCTTTTCCGTCAGGTGTGGAAATAATGATGGATCTAGAAGATGGCGGAAGATTTCATTTTGCACCTCGCTTATTCCCTGTAGAGAAAAAAAATATCAAATTCAGTAAACTGGAAAAATTATCCAAAGTTAAATGGATTTATAGTCAACGAGGTAGGTGCTCCGCATCCGCATCCAGTTAAAATTTTAAAGTGTTGGTATTTTCTGTGGGATAAAAACCAATATCTGGGGAGGGATGTGCTCTCTAAATATAAACAATTTGGCATATCCTTACCTTTCCCTTTATAGAACTGACATACAATACTTTGTCAGGTAATCGCGGTCTGCAATTCAGCAACTGTTCCAATTTTTGTATTCGTGCACAAATAAAGGAGTCTTCTCGTTTGCCTGTTGTCCTTTGAGTAAAAAAAACATACTCTGACTTTTAATTTCTTTATCTTCCTGACATATCTTAGTGATGGAGTATACGAGTACTATGTACTTATTGACTGAGCGGGAGGGCCGTACTGGAAAATATTTGGCTCGAGGTGATGCCGTACAAATGACCGAGAGCAAGAGAATATTAAGTAAGAGAGCACATCTTCCATATATGAGTCTGTAACCATGAAAGTTTTTTGAAAATCTATTTTTAGCTCCGCGCGCAAGGCTAAGGTATTTTTAGCATGCGATTCCTGATTACGAGAGCCAAATATTTTCCCGTACGGCCCGACCTAACTCAGTCAATATACAACAAGCATTTTATCATATGACCCTCACGAAAAATAAAAAATAAAATAAAATAAAGGAAGAAGTAGTAAATAAAATCTAAAAAAGAGAAAGCGCGCGGACTCGAGCAGGGCCGTACGCATTCGTAAGGCCCTGCTCACGCCATTTTCCCGAAGGTTTTTTAAGGTTTTTTTATAGGCGCGCACCTGGGCAGATTCGGGTCATATGATAATAAATTTTATTTAATTTGCCGGAATCGGTACTTACTTTAGTACGTCAAGTTCGGCTCTTACTTCAAGATAATGCTCTTCTTCGGCATTTTTAAGGGTATTTAATACCTGCTTGCTAATCTCCGAAAAGTCTGTACTGGATCCATCGGCATGCGTTCCAACGACTATCAACGGACAACCTGGGGTCTAAATATAAAGAACAAAATGACAATAATAGAAATAAATCATTGGCACTCCTAAAACAAATAGAGTTTCTTGGACTTCGGGAGGGCTTTCGTTAAACGGCTTTTTACGTGAAAAAATAGCTAAACTAACAAGCATCACATACGATTAGGGGGTATATTTTAGCCTCAAATGAAGTGTTTGGAAAAGGAAAAACTCTAAAATATAGAAAACTTTCATTTTGGCGCCAAAGGACGCGTACGCGTTCGTGCTTCCGACCAAATACGCATGCGCTAAACCTCGGACATGCCCTTCAAAAAGTTAGTTGCCATGGCGAGAGCTGTCAATCAGGAAAAAAAGGAAAGCCATTTGTCTGTCCTTGATTTTTTCATTCACTCTTCAACGATAAAGTTTTCAAATAGTTTTTTATTAAGATTTTAGTCTTTATTGTTAAGGAATTAGTTACGGTAAAAAGGATTATTCTCTGGAGGAGGAAGTAGACATGATTTACCTCGAAAAATCGTCCAGCAGGACTTGTCAACAAAACTGATTCATTTGGTTTCAAAAGATGGAAAAAAGAAGGTCCACCCATTCAAAAAGGAATGAAGGTAATATGTATGCTTAATAAGCTTATTTTCTTTTATAAAAACTATTTTTTTAGACAATACTTCCAAGTTACTGCTCGTATAAAACACTCCAGCATGAAGTGAAATGACAGACGGACATTAGTGCACTTATCTTATCTTCCTTTAAAAAAAAAGACTTGCGAAAACGACAGAAGGCTTTTTCTCAACGAAAACTAATATTCTGACTACATGTCAACAAGTGACAATTAAGTTCGCACATTATTCCTAATATATATGCTTCGAAAGTTACTGGATTCCAAAATTAGTTTAGTTCATGAGAATGTCAGTAGACATTAGATACGAAAAAAGAAACCATAGATATCAAAATAATGGCTATAAATGACGAAGACCGGCACAAATAAAAATCGTATTTACGAAAGATTCAATGAATAAGCTTACAATAGAGTATTAACAAAAAAATAGATATCAACATTAAAAAATACTTGCACACACCTTGGTCTGAACCAAGAACAGCCAGTTTGGCATATTTTTGATTTCCATTGGATTGTTTATATCAAACGTTAGGACGTATAGTGTTTGATCTGTAAAAAATAGTGGATGAAGACCTTGGATGCACTGTAAGAAATAAAAATTGCAAAGTGGAATTACAAAATTATACAGTCCATTCTTACATAGAACTGAATAAGTGGTAGAATTGCCGTGCTAGACTGGCAAATTAAATAAAATGTTATTGAAGTGAACTGTATTTTTATTTTCCATTTTATGAATTTGACGTTGAACAACGTTCTTTTTTGGCAGAGCAACATCGTCTTTTATAATTTCTTTTAACATTCCTCTAGATCTTACACCTCAAACTAAGAAAACCGTGAAAATATGTCTCGAATGTTAAACATCGTGTTCTGACCTGAATTACATAGGACAATAATTAGATATGAATTTATTTTTACATGAGATTGGTCAAAACACGTTTCACATTTCAGGCATATTTTAGGTGTTCTCAGTTTTCTTAGTTTTACTGTAAGAATCTTTTAGAGTTTAGTCTTTGTTGTAAGTAATTTAGGTTTCAATAAAAACGCATAAAATAGGTTCAAACCTTTCGGCCTCCACAATCCCAAACTTCTATTGTTAAGTCTTTGCATTCATCATTCACAGGCATTCCAAGCGTGTCTTTGTCTACTGCTTCATCTTTTTATGTTTAAAAAAAATTGCAGGTTAGAATAAACCAAATTGCATAAATAAGAAAAAACGAAATTGAAAGTATTGTTTTCTTAAGAGGAATAAGAAGTAAGATGCCAATTGAAATATTAAATCTCTGAATGAAGAGATAGAGTATTCACTTTAATATCTGTAAGTGCCTAATCGATTAAGGGTAAAATTTATCGTTTTTCTTAGCTTTGACTGGGACATAGATTCATCGTTACTATTGGACACAATTTTTTTTTCTGCGTACCATAAAACAAATAAAGTACATGCAAATAGGGGTTACTTATACACTTTTCTTGCTTATCAATCAAAAGAGACCTACCTTCTTTCCCAGAAAACGGTCTCCATCTAGAAACATTAACCCCTTCTGTACTAGAATCAGCAACAGCCAAAGAAGAACTTACTACACATAGAGATAAGCTACTTTTACCACTTCCCTCATCCCCTATAAATGCCAATCTGCACATACAATGTAGATTACTGTCTTCTAAAAACTGTTTAGTAGCTGAAACTCCTTTCATTGTCACTTCCAATGAAGGACATTTAAGTCCAGTGCAGCCCTCTACGAGAAGTTCTTTTAAAAAAGACAGTTTTACAAAGTCGTAAGGTATGTGTTTTACTGAACAGTGTCGAATATCTATATGTTCAAGATGAAGACAGTTTGTCGAAAGAGCTTCTAATGATTTTTCTGTTATCTTCAGACACCAGCCTAATTTTATAATCTTCAAAGAATGACAATGTTTTGACAATGAAAACACAGATTTGTCGGTCAATTCATTGCAACCACATAAATCTATTGATTGTAGTAATGTACATTTGGAACAAAAGCTTTCAATTTCTTTGTCTTTAAGATTGCAGTATCCAAAATTAATACTTGTCAATTTGGGACATAACTTAGCAATATCATGTAATAATTTATCTGTTATTGCTGGAAGTTCACTTAGGTCAAGGGAGATTAAAGATCCAGAAATATGCTTGATAAATTTTCTTAGTCCATCAGACGTAATATTGTTGAAGCCAGATAGCCCGAAGTGTTCTAAAGATATTTCTCTTGTGTCAATAATTGCAGATAGTAAACCATCATCAATTGTCCATTCTCCATCATTGTCATCAGCATCATCACTTTCACAAGATAAAACTGATAATGACTTTAGCTCATGACACTTCTTTGTCAAGTTTCCAATTCCTACATTTGTTATGTCTTTAAAATTTCCATTAAATGTGACGCAAGACAGTCTGGTACAGTGATCCACAATTTTGTCCAACAATTCATCATTAAAATATTTACAGCTGTTTATAGAAAGTGCAGTCAATTCTGGGTTTATAAGTTCAATAAGAGAGACTATATCATCATAGGTTAATTTTGTGCAGTTTCGTAATTGCAACTTTTCTGATGAAGAATTTTCTTCAAGTAGTTTCTGAAAGAAAAAAAAACATATTCTTATCAATTATCCATAAGGAATTATTTATGACACAACTAAAGGGAAGCACCGGTGGCGTGCGCTGCTAATTCGCCGCCTCTCACTAATGCGGCCCAAGTTCGAGTCCTGCCGATCTCGATGTCGTATGTGAGTAGAGTTGTTTGTTGGTTCTCTCCTGTGCTTCGAGGGTTTTCCTCCGGGTTCTCCGGTTTTCCTCCCTCCTCAAAAATCAACTTCTAAATTCTAATTCAATCTTTGGGCTTTCACTTAGTTTGGAGCCTAGCTCTGTTGTGATTGTCCCATGCTGTGATACAACAGCGAAAAGCTTTGTAGATTTTTTTTTTTTTTTTTAAACTACAGCAAACAACCATAAAAGATACAAAATACATATACTACCAGACAGCCAATATTGTAACAAATTGTATCCTAGCAACAACATTGTTTACTTCAAAACATTGCCTAATTATAGTCATTTAAACCTAAAATTTATAGTCCCTTGTCCAATAATCACCAGAGCAACTTGAATTGAAGTAATAAAAGGAAAATATCCCAAGAAAAAAGAGAATCACATTCTTAAATTTTATGTGCAGTGGTAAATTTATAAATGAACAAAAACAAAAAATATTTCTCTATTAACATTTTATTATCTTGAGCCATAAACATTTGAGAATTTACTATTCAGCTAAGTCACTATTCAGCTATGTACATGCACATGTAATGAACATCAATTTATGGTATGCATTTTTTTTAAAGCTATACATGTAAGTAACTTTCGTCATCATTAACATGAATGCTATCATTAGTAGTTATAGCCAAAGCATCAACATGTTCTTTTTTTAAATCCTTAAATGTTCAATGCGTAGTTCCAGAATTGTATACACCCTGTACCTCCACAAAATTACAGAGTTGGAAGAAAATTGAAATTTATGGGAGAAGTGGGGGGAGGTCTGAAAAAATTTCCTCTGTAGATAGTAGCATAAACTCATGTTGATTGATTATTTCAAAATTTACATTTAGATTGTACAATGATAATATATAAGGCATAAATGTCATACTTGATCAATAACAAAGGAGAATTATGATGATATAAACTTTCTTGAATGCATTTAAGGGAGGTCTCAATGCTTTTACAGTAGAATGTTCAGAAATAATAATACTAGTAATAAATAAAGTACAAAAGAGTAAAATAATTCTTTAGTTAGAAAATAAAAATGTTTTGAGTTCAGGTTTGAAAATGTCAATAAACTTGCATAGTATTGAACAATACAAAAAGGTATATCCATGCTTTCTTCTTTCTTTCTTTTGCCTTTGTTTTGTTTTGCTTTGATTATTTATTTTTTTTGTTATGTTTTTTTTTTTTGCTTTTTTTATGTCCTTTTGTTTTGTTTTGTTTTGTTTCAGTAATAGTATCCAGTGGCTAAATATCAAGAAAGACAAATATATATTTACATAAGGTTAGGTGATAATCAGCTTACTCACAAAACAAACAATCTTCAATTTTGATCAAGTTGCAGATTGGTCAAAATATTATTTATTTTCCAGTTAAGATTGACAGAGTGTGATATTGGTTTGAGCACCTAATTTTTTTAAAGAATTAAAATTTTGTATAAAAGTTACTATACACAATGAGCTGGCATTTCATTTGGCAAATCAGTAGTCTTCAAAGTTAATAGGTTTAATAACAAATAATAAATAATGGGAATTAACAGTGGATTCCACAAAGCGACTCTACTTCCACTGGATTCCAGTTTAAATTGAGGGGTTGATTTTTATGGAGGGGAAAAAACTTGGAAAACAGAGAGAAAACCCCTCAAAGCTCAGGAGAAAATATGTGAGTGCTTTCACCACTAGGCCACTTGTCTTCCCAGATCAGATCAGACCAGATTATCTATTGTGTTAGTTATAAAGGCATGTTATAAAACCATTGTCAAGTTGGACAAATTTCATTTCACAAGAAAATAGATTTTCTGTCACTTTACTGTCAAATATTTTACTTTATAAAATGTATATACCCAAAGCAACACCTGCTTTTTAGCTTTCTGTTTCACAAAGGCTAGAACTTTGAAACAATTTATTACTTTAAAGCGGGAAATATATCATTTAAGTACAACAAAATTGAAGAGTATTTTTACAATTAAAAAGTTAGCTTGTAGTGTTAGCTCGTAAAGAAATTATGCAAATATGGCGGTAATTTGTGAATTGAGAAAAAAAGCATTCATCAGATATTTGATTATACATATAAATTCAACTATTTCATACCCTGGAATCCACAGATTACTAACTTATTCCTGCTCTCAGTAACATGAAAATGATTTTTATAAATATATATGGCTTATATTTTTTTCAACCTAAATATCCCTATGGTTTTAACCCACTAACAGTAGTAAGTTGTTTTTTTGGGAAAATATTAAATATTTGTTTCTTTTTTTTTTTTTTAAATTCAAAACTCAATTAAATCTGGCCAAAATGAATATGTTTTTCCCAACAAGGCACAAAAGAATATAGCAGAATAAAGCAGATGCTGGCGTTTGAGTTTTGCTATGCCATTAAAGCAATTCACCTGTTTCTTTATATTAAAAAGGTTAATGGATTTTAGCAACACCGACGTATGGATTACGACAATACTGAATGTACAAGTAGGATGTAATACTGCATCTTTTGATTTCATTACTAATGTGTAAGTTTGTTTTTATTTCATTTTATCTATTGTTATTTCTCTTTCTCTCTCTCTCTCTTTTCTCTATCATTATTATTAAACTTCCTAAGCCTCTAGAGCATATCTGGATAGGCACCTTATAAATAGCCATTATTATTATTATTTATATGATTTGAAGAAATGACAAAAATGGAACAAACTTCTTGATGGAGCACGTTCCCGTTACTTTTGAATAATATGAATTTTAACAAAAAGATGTATTTGAAAATTCATTTATTTTCTAATTAAAGGAAAGAATGCTGATCTAGCTGTAACACCTTTTGAGTCAACTGTGTTGTAATGGCTTTATGGTCCCATCAATTCATTTTGCACTAAAAGAAATGTAAATCATACCCCATTACTACAGTATATAATCAATCAGGATTTTGATATGGAGAAGTAAGATGAAGGGACGTATTTTCTAAGAAAATATAGCATTTATTTTTGAATTTTGAGTTCATAAACTCTAAACATGTTTCTTCAGGATTAAGCTTAAGAAAACATGGTGATTTTCTAATCAAAACAAACTTAGCCATATTTTTCTAAATGTAATTATACCTCACATAGTGAAATATCTTTTCCTATGATTTCATGACCACAGGAACAGCAGAAATACAAATTATAAGCTGATAATATATACATTGTTCCTATGGGTCAGTCTAGATACCACTCAAAAGTAAACATTCGGGAAGATGAAACACGGGCAACTTTTCCTTTCGTGTAGTAAACAAACAACAACGAATATAAGAAAGTCAAGGGGATTAACGCTAAACCAAGTTTCCGATCCATACAGTAGCTAAGATTTGGTACTTTCATCTAAGTTATAAATATGAGGAATTCCATAAAAAGTACTCGCTGTAGAAAGCAAATACAGCAAAATAAAGTTGGCGTAAGCCTTATTTGTTAGTGGAGTTCGTCATGGTTACGCCAATCGTACACAAAATTGATAATTAAGTTATAGATTTTGGTCTTTTTAGTCGGTGAAGAAATGGTATTAAAAAAAACATTGGTTGATTTATAAACAGCCCCAAGCATTCCTAGTGTCAAGAAGGGATCAAATGAAATTGGAGAAAGTAGGGATTTGGATCTAACGGGGGAAAATCACTATCGCCTCAAATAAGCCCTGCCTCTCCAGAAAGTTAATGGTTCAAAAATCGATCGAAAACCTTTTTAATGGGAATCATTGAAAAGTTCTGAAGCGGTCTGTATACTACTCTAAGTACTTTAATAGTTAGACTAAGCATTTTCCAGCCCGAATTAATAGAGCTGAGGACCGATCGGTACTAACTTGACAGCGATTACGAAAAACAACAGGAGGTTGGCCGAAAAAAAACTCGCAAGAATTAACATTGCGCAGATCGAGAATATTATCGCCGATTTTGACGATAAAACTCGCTCCCGACTGCACCAACTCATCAGCACTACTACATTATAAATAGCAACAAAGGTCGATCCTGGTTAGTAGTGTTCCCTTCCTTTACTCGATCACTATCTCACAATATCTGGACTTTATTTAGCAAAATGTAAACTATAGCAACATGTATTACAGTCGTTTACGCTCACCTTTGCTTCTTCTAAGCTGACATTTTTCTCCAGAATAATCTCCTTTAAACCCATATGTCTTTGGCAAGGTCTACAGAAGACCGTTGTAGATTGAGATTAAGTTTTAGATGTTCCTTTAGAATACGACGAAGCCATACTTCATTTCTATTGCTTCTACTGGCGCTGTTTCCATAGAACTGAGAAGCCAACGAGATGTTTTCCAGCTGGCCCTCTTGAGCATGCGCAAAGGGAGCGCTAGAGAGTACACAGGTAGCCCCTTTTATATTTTTCTTTCGGAAATTTAATTTGACAAAAATTCTTTCACAATCATTTTAAATTTCCTCTTCCATCAGTTTCTATTCATTATTCTTTTTTCGCTTCTTACCGTCAATCTGACCTGGCTTATGCTGAATTGAATTCACGTATTTATCTCATAGATATGGAAATCGGCCAAATAGGTCGACTGACTAACCCAATCTCGCATAAATATGACCCAGAGCCTGCGTTTCTTTCGGCCTACAGCAAAGAACGAGGGCTCTGGCATAATTCATTTTTGGCGCATGCGCAGTTTTCTGAAAGTGAAACATAATCAATGAAAATCATGCTTTCAAACCTGCTTTCAAACAGAGGTCTGTGTTTACTTCCGATGAAATCGAGAACATATTTTTTTAATTTTTGGCAAGTCTTTTAACGTATGCGCTCTTATACCGGAAGTCCAAGAAATCCTGGTCTTAAATGAAAATGGATTATGCCAGAGCCTCGTTCTTCGCCGCAGGCCAGAAGAAACGCAGGATCTGGGTACGAGATTGCAAACCTTGATTTATCCATTAAAACCCTTTATGTTTTTTCATAAAAGAACATCGCAAGTCACAAAGGGTCGAAGGGGGAAACTTTTCTACTAATCACGGTTCCTGCGCCCCGTTAAAAGTTTTTTTTTTTTTTTTTTTTTTTTGCTTGAGAGCTTGAGAAATCATTGTCATTTCATCATCATCATCTTTTTTCTATTAATCATGGTTCCTGCTCCCCGATAAAACGTGTTTTTTCCCCAAAACCCACAGGGAACGCCTGGCTACGCAGTCTAGTACTATAGTAGCTTTCTACTGTTCTGTAGTCAACTGAAAATTAAGAAAACACTCTTAAATCATGACCATATCTATGAAACAAAAATAAAGAACATATTGAAACATTCTGACTGACAAATTTTGTCTGAAACTATCCAGAAAATTCTTGATTATGTTGGACTACAATGAGTACAGTACATTCCAGAGTGAAGACAGTTGGAAAGACAAAGCTCAAGCCCAGTCATGTGACCTCTATTGCCGCGAAATTACTTTCTAAGGGGGAGGGGGGGGGGACCAAAAACGAATAACTTGGGCTATAACTAATCATGTTATTTTTAAAAGTCATTTATTATTCAAACCTTTTTTAACCTTAAATACTTTGTTTGTCTTCAATTTTGAAAGAAAATTGGTACACAATAATCTGAATCATTAACATAACAGATAATTATTATAGACATTCATATTCCTGAGGCTAATTCATGTGACAGTCCTTTCAGCTAAAGCATTTGTTAACATGTTTTTTTGAATTGGGGGGCATCATTTGAAGAAAATATAACAAGATTTCTTTCCATGTTCCATATTTACCATTTATGTAGGAGTCTCATAATTTGTGATCAATATGCGAATTTTTACAGCGTGCACCAAAGCTAGAGGGAAACTTAAATGGGTGGCACAGGGCGGATCCAGTGGAGGGGTACATGGGGGTGCGCAGCCCTACCTGGCGTGTAAGACTTTGACCCCTTTTTCGAAGATAACCAATACAAAATAATGTTTTTTCCCTTTGATTTAAAGAGGTGTACCCCTCCCTGGGCTAGCTTTGTGCGCAGCACCCCTCCATGAACAAAATCCTGGATCGGCCCCTGTGGCACACCCATCTACTGTGATAGTTAGGAAGTATGCTACTGCTGAATTTTAACTCACTTACTATTTCTGCGTATATGTATATATGCTGATCTATATGGCTTGTTACTGGATTTTTCGAAGGATTCATTGTCGAGTCTTTATTTAACAATATATATGTATGTCTAGGTTAGATCTTGATTCCGGTCATGTTTATATACATATCCTATATTTGCGGCTTCTTGTACTGTCCTATGAGCTTACCTTATGGTTTTTACAGCACTTATTTTTAATACAAAGTTAAGTATTAATAACTACTAAGATAAGACTGGCTAGGAGTATGTTCATTGGTAGATAAAACTTAAATGTAGCGACCCCTTGTGAGCATCTTTAAGCTACAATTTGTACCAAAGGGTGTAATCGCAAATTAATTAGTATCTTTACATAATCTTCAACGGCCTCTGCTTTGTGGCTTTTCTAATTAGATATTTTATTGAAATAAGAAATTTCTATTTACGATTATAGCATTAGTGTCCAAGAACGTAATCTTATTGTGAATAGGTTTGCATTATTTTCAGCACTGTGGTATTCATAAACAATTCGATTTTTAAGGTTGTTTAGTTAAAGAGTGGGTGTATGGGGATGTGTCGGGTTTTTTCCGCAGTTCTTTGAGTTCAAGATTTAAATGATAGTTCATGCTTTGCTCGAGCCTCGGCTCGAGTCTCGTGTTTTGGAATTATCGCTGTCTTCCAAAGCATCATTTTCATGCGGATCCCTAACTTCGTGTAGTTCTATGTCGATCTTGTTTTCATCACAGACATTTCCATGCACAATTTTGTCATCAACAACAGAAGACATGGTAGTTTTACGCTTGGGCTGATCACTGTTGCTATCTTTCCGTAGAATCCAGTTTTTTACTTTAATGTAAGGCGCCTCTGAGCTATGGTGACTCTCCCCAAACCCACGCGATCTTTGGTGCGAAGTTTCACTTTCCTTGTGACTGAATCCTAAGCCACTAACAAAGAAGCTCCATTGGTTCCGCACTTCTTTGATTCTGACGCAGTGGAAAAAGAATATGAAGAACCCTTGCAATGAGTTAAAGATGCAGAAGAGATACTCGAAGGCAAGTCTTGCACCTGAGAGTGCGAGCGCACCAAATAGCCAAGTAAGGCCAAGCAGACTCATAATGGCAAAGGCGGTCCAACAGCGTTTCTTCTGGTTTGATTTGGTGTCCACAGGTACCATGGTCCCGGTGCAGTTGAGTTTATAGATGACAAGTATGAATATGACCAAATTGAAGACAATTGTAACAAGAATGGGTACGAACCACGAAACCATTCTGTACGTGTAATTGTGAAGAATACACCTAAAGAGAAATAGCTTGAATCAGTCCTTGTTTCTAGTATGAGAACAACATTTTACATTCTACAAGATAAGTTCAAAAAAACAAATCCAGTGGATGGATCAATTTTTTCCTGATATCACATTTTGTCGTCATTTTTGAATCTGGAGTTGACCCCTGCACCATCAAACGAATCTTTTGGAAACGCCTTCTCCCTCCTTTGAAAAGTTGCTAGTTCCTCTACTCTTTTATTATCAAAAAATATGTATCGCTGGGAAATTCCTTCCATGTATCAATAACCATAAGTTATGAGGTGACGCAAAATGTCCCTTTTCTCTTCATGGCCTCAATTTCTCGACACTCCATTTCCCAGTAGTTTCTTATTTCAAAATTATCAACATTTTACTAGATAATTTATTTTACATTCTACTTACACTTTTTTATTCCCATAGTAAAATACTCGATCGCTGTCTTCATTTGCATTGTATTCAATCACTGCTGCAACAACTGTGGCTGTCACGATAAGAGCAGGCACACCCCAGGCAAAAATAGACGCCTTAAGCATGAACTTCCGATGGTATATCGCCATAACTTTGACGAGTTGAAGGTAGAGATTGTAGGCCTCGACTGCCATCCATAGTATCGTTGCAAGGGTAAAATAATGAAGAAGTGCAGCAGCTATTTGACATCCACGTTGATCGCTGGTTCTGTCTACGCCCACAGCGAACACTATGAGCAAAAATGCTATGGCAACGCATAAGCTCATCAGAATCGGCTGCTGGTTTGTTTTGCGCAGGTGTCTAGAGAAATAGAAAAAAGTAATTTTAAAGAATTGAACAGTTATTGTCTCGGTGGATGCCACGCTGATTAAGCCAGGAAAAAGGATAAATAAACGGTAAATGGAAACGACAGAGAAAATTAACGGAAGCATGAACTGTCATCTCGAAAAAATAGATTTAACCGTTACATTTTGACTGTCGGAAGCAAGAACTTATCGCTAGGCATAGTTACTTTCTGGAATAATAGACTTAAAAAGTTATTATCGGCTTCTAGATAGGCAATTATTCTTTCGGGGGGAAAAAATCCAAATATTTTAAACGGAGAGTTTATCAAATTTAAATTCGCACAAATCAAAAGTATCATTTCTTCAAATAAATATGAATTAGTCCTGAAAGAGTATGCAATTACACGGTGATTAACTTTCGTTCTAGCTTACTCATTTGATCAATTCCATTTATCGACGCATTGAAAGGAAGCTTACTACTTCTACGCTTCTTCCGCGATTGGGACGCGCATTGGTGTTTAATATAAAATATTTAATAATTCCCCCCTTTAGAATAAAACTTTATTGAGTCACTTTGGTATAGCAACGACTTTATCTCGCGTTCTGAAGTAAGTTATGGAAGATTTGACTCACAGCTCGTATTTGAATAAGAGCGAAAAGGCGGAGGCAGTTATGGCTGGCTGAAAGATGAATAGACAGCTTCAATGAATGAGGGTTTGAAATAAAGAAGAGAAACCATTGATTTCCTACCTGAATAATGAGTAAGTAAGGAAAGTTAGCAACACGCCCGCGAGAGATATACCACACCCAACATAACTGATGATACTTAGGATTCTTGCATGCTTTTGCATATCTTGACCGGCGAGAGGTTTATTCTGTGGTGAAAATAAAACTGCAAAGCTTGTCAAGTGGTTGCAGCAGCACTTTACACTGTCTTTGTTTTCGCCATCACTGTTACACGGGGAACATCCTTCGTTCGACCATTGTCGTGCTGGAACAAAATTAAAAAGTAATGCAATTTTAATCTTCGATAACGTCATTTTGTCTTGATTAATTGACCAAGAAAATACAAAGGAGCTGCAAAATGCATCTGATCACGTCGTTACTATTACATGCATAATAAAAATATAAAATTCGCATTGATTGGAGAAAAGACGCCGATTTAATAAGGAGGAAAGCATTATTCATATGGATGCTCTAGTATTTATTGGAAAAAGGCCCTTTGGAAGGTTCGACCTATCAGACTTTAATTGATAAGTAAACCATGTCGTGAAGATCTTGCCCAGAATGTGACACCATTTATGTGCATTTCTATCTTTGGTCAAATTGTTTATCATCAGTATAGCGAAAGCGAGTTATAAGTGTTTGATGCAGTGGCGGATCCAGGGGGGGTTCGAAGGGTTCCACGGAACCCCCTTGAAGGTTTGATCTTTTAGGTAATAGAAATATGTCTTATATACATTTTGCTTAAAAGTATCCACAAAGATAATGTTGAACACGAAATGATATATATTTGATGTTATAATGTTTAATTTACCTTTAAGTTCCGTTACTAGATAGTAAATTAGGTGATTAGAGCCAATTTTTTTGTCAAACATCGACTAAACAAAAAAGAATTATACACAGTTTAAGAAACGGGACCCCCCTTTGAAAAATCCTGGATCCGCCACTGTGATGGATGTTTTTTAGTTAGCATTGAACTTGCCAATTGATCAATAAATATTCATTATAGATTTTGCGCAAAATGGGAAAACTGTATGTCCACCGCCTACTATGTCAAGCCCTTCATAAGACAGCGCATACATCAACCTACCTCCTTCTTCCCAGTAGACACATGATGAGTTTTGCAAGTCTTTTTTTTCAGTTCTTGGAAAGGATAGAGTTACATTTTCGGACAACTTTGAAGTATTTGTATTGAAAACGCTGCTGGATAAAACCTCATCACTGGGTGTCCTTTCAACCCCTGATTCGTCTTCTTCATCTTTCTCAGTAAAWAACTTATGATTGGCAAAATAAATGAAGCCAATACGAATGGGAGAACTTTTGTTGGAATTCTCTACTGCGGCCATTGGTATTTTAACGAAGAGGCTAGTCTGCTCCTCACTTGTTACAACACTTTTGCCACCGTCCCCATTCTTAGTGATACCAAATCCAAGGCCTTTGAACGTGGAGAAATTCACTTCATTTGCTTGTATGGCGAGGTTTGTACTATTCAACACCCTTGATGGTGTACCATTTTCCAAGGGAATTTTTTCGGCAATTTTGTCCAACGCTTTAATAATTCTGAAAGAAAAAAACGAAGAAAAATACTCAATGATAAGAAATATCATTTCTAACAACAAACAAACAATTCACCTTTTTGGCGCTAGCCGTCACGTGGTATAAATTGTGTTGGATTGTGTTACGGTCACCAAGAAGTTCGAACATTGTTCTCGGATTTCCATACAAATGTACTTACTTTAAATGATATAACTAGCTAAAAACTAGTGTGAGCTGCGTCGGTGTTTCTAATGAAACAGTAATGATRAAAAGGTAAATTATACACCGTGAAAAGATGAAAAAACTTACTGACGTTTCGGACGCTAGTCCTTCGTCGGAGTAAAAGAGCTTTTTTACTTTAAATGAACTATTTACTTGGTTTGTTTAGTTAGTTCTCTAAATACAAATAAAATATCATTTTTCTAAATTGATAAAAACTTTTCTTATTGCTGTTAGGAAAGCTAACTAAAGAAATCTATCTAAATTTTCTCTTTAAACTCAGTGAATTTGTATGGGAATCCGAGAACGATGTCCGATCTTCTTGGTGACCGTAACACAATCCAATATAGTGTTTACGACGTGATGGCTATCGCAGAAAAGGTGAATTGAAAGTATTAAAACGATGAAAGTTTTTCAGAGGATTCCAGTCGCCCCTGCATCGTCAAGCCTCTCTAACACACTCATCCTCGATCACATTACGTATTACAGGTGACAGCATTGTCTCACTTGGAATTCAATTTTCCTTCGGGAACGCATTCCCATGACAAATGAGACATTCTCATTGACTGTCAATTTTTTTTAGAAGAACTATACAATATTTTCTTACCTCGAAGAAGCATTTGCTTTGAGATTTGAGACGTTCATCTCCATCATTTTATCAATAATTTCGACAACTGAATGAGCAGTCTGATAAATTACAGAGAAAAATAAACATTAGTATCCCCAATTAGCAGGCTACATATGGAAGAAATAGAAAACGCGTGCTGTGTGCAGTTATAGAGCATGCGGAAATTGGCGGAACACGAGAGAAGTGTTAGGAGAAGCAAGACGCATAGGAAAGTGCTTCTAGACACTTCTCGAGTGTTCTGCCAAACCCTACTTTTTAACACCACATAGCATAGCAAGCAAATTTTCTTAATTTCTTTCATAAAATACAAATTACGATAACCGCTATATTAGATAGGAATGACGCAACTGAAAGTACGCGCGCGTGCTGTGTGCTCTCATAATGCACGCCCTCCCAACTAATAAAAACGCGAGATTTATAACAGGCATTTTATAAGTTTGGCACTCAAATAAAGTTGATGATTAATAAGTTGACGTTATCAGGACTCCTGGGATACATATTGTGGCTTATTTGTATTAACACGCTGCGCTTTGTTGGTTTGTTTATAGATATGTATGGCCTTTACTTGTTGTGATGCCCCACCGGCCCCACCCGTGCAAAACACTCCATAAACATTGCGAGTATTACAAAATAAGTATCCACGTTAGTCTTTACTGCTATTAACTTTAATGCAAAAGTTGTTACGGGCTAAATTTACTTTTAATATAAGAATAAACATGTTTGCATAATGTAGATACAGTTTCTAGTATTGATTCCCACTGTGTGTCTTTCTTTTTACCTCGTTCAACTGATCTTCTACCGATAAGATGTTATCCACCATGTCTGCAGCAAGATCGGCATCAGCCTCAGACATGTCTTTAGCAGATCCTGATTTGAACACCTTCGTGAAGTTCTTAGCAACTTCTTTGGCATTGTTAGGGGTAACTTTCGTCTGTGGGTTAAAAAACATTGTTGGTAAAGTTAAGGGCCCGGTTGTACGAAGGGTGGATAGCGCTATCCGACGGATAAGTCTTATCCAGTGGATAAACTTATTGGATAACAGCATCGAATTATTCACTAAATAAGAATTTATCCATCGGATAGCGCTATCCACCCTTCGTACAAACGGGCCAAGGTGATCAAAAACGTTCAGTGTATATGCGCTGTTACACACAACGGTTTGTGGTTCAAATTGTCTCTCGACTGGCGAAAAAGGTTTCAGATTGCATATTGGCAGAAATAGCGTGCTGCACACGCTCGCTCAAGTTATTTGATTTTGTGTGTTTTTTGGGCTCTAGCAAGAACATCTTGCTAAAGGTCTCTATTTAATATTCAAGGAAACTACACAACCTAGAGACAATAATGTAAAATATTCTCATGTGGCCTATTTCATTTCCTATTAGTTTACACAATAATAATAATAATAATAATGATAATAATAATAATAATAATAATAATAATAA